CGTAAATCACACCATGTCATCTTTGTGCAACTGTGTAACATCATCAGTGTATTTTGTTGATAAAATAAGTTAGCTGATGTTTTGTCGATTAATTTGTACTGTTCTGCTGTTCTTCACAGGGTATGGATAGTGGCTTTGCTGGAGGAGAGGATGAAATTTACAATGTTTATGACCAGCCTTGGAGAAGTGGCAAGGATATGGCCCAAAACATCTACAGGCCAAGTAAGAATATGGATAAGGACATGTATGGAGATGATCTAGAGGCTCGAATAAAGACCAACAGGTAAGGAAATAAATTTAAGAAATATTGTTAATTAGTATTTTGAAGATACTCAGCTGACTATCACCGTCTCCTGCAGGTTTGTTCCTGACAAAGAATTTTCTAACTCGGATCGTAACACCAGAGGCAGGGGCAGAGATGGACCAGTTCAATTTGAGGAGGATCCATTTGGTTTGGACAAGTTTCTGGAGGAAGCTAAGCAACATGGTGGTTCTAAACGGCCATCAGACAGCAGCCGCCCTAAGGAACACGAGCATGAGAGCAAGAAGAGGAGGAAGGACTGAATGCCTCTGCTCCTTGAGAGGTAGGGAAATGGACTGCAAGCTTGGACTTCATGCAAAAGGATTTTTAATATTGGGTGTACAGGAGGATGGCGTTGTAACACAGCAGTTCACAACTCTGGCCGTGTGGATACATAAACTAACTCTTCTACACATGACAGCTACCTGAAGAGAGAGAAGACATGGAGACCACTTTGAAACATTTCAGAAGGGAATGAATTATTCTTTAGCAAGTTCTGACTTTGCTGATTCCCCATTGCCCAGCATCTCAGGGTAAGAATGTAGCCCCTTTCCTACAGCTTTAGTTTTTGTAGGTAGCTGAAGCTTTGACTTTATCTGTTAAGAGCTTTCCTGCTGTACATAATGATCATCTTATGCTGTAACAGATGCTGGGGTGTAATAATTCAGTGTTTTAGTGTGGCTATACAGTTTATTTGAACAAGGGAGGGGAAACAGCTGGATTCTGTTTTGAAACAAGTACTCATTCATAGTTTCTCAGTAATCTTTATTTTAGTTTCTTTACATTTAGTGAAATAAAGCCTCCTTCCACCACTCATTCACTTTGACTCTTTCTTTGACTGCGTCTTCTACGGATCTGCTGTTTGAGAGTGAGCTGAAAACAATGGAAATTATTGAAATTAGCTAGGCAAGAAAGTTTGTTATTTTTCATTTCTGATCACAGAAAGCAGAAGATATATTTATAATCAATTCAGTTTCATAAGCCCCAGGCCAGGGCTTTCCTGATAAGAAAGTTGAGTATATATCCGCAGCAACTGCTAGCTGTACAAGCAAAATGCATCTTAAAAGCTTGTGCTTTCAACGGGAAGTAATAAAAAGTAACTGTCTAAACCTAGCCTAGAAAAAATGGCAAAGTGCTTCATAGAGAAGCCTGCATTTTTTAAGAAATGAAAATAACTGTTTGCCTTCTGCTTTTTATTCCACTATAAAGAAGCCTCTTAGCATGCACCTCTTGTGAGAGTATAGGCAGTGAAGTGCATGCGGCTATCCTTAACAGCTTCAGAACAAAAAGCAGTAAAAATTTCCAGGAAATATGTTATTTCTAGTACCTAATTTGATAATTGCATACAGATAACATCCTAGTTCAACACAATTTATGAAGGACCAACCTACTGCCAATCTAATCTCAGTTTAAGGAGTCTTAATTTCTGCTCCCATTTTTGTACCACAGTTGAAATTCACAGGTTAGTTCTTCTTGGGAATAGGTACTGAAGTAACCACAATCAATGATGACTTAGGCAGAAACATGAACCATGGCAAGTGAAATACTTTACCACAATCAAAATACTGCATCACTGAAGTCTCTCATCAATTCCTTCTGTTATCTCCTAGCATTTAAAATCTCAAAATAAGAAATCAGTTGTCAAAAGGATATTGAAGAAGAATTATTAATTAATCAAAGGCTTGAACTGACTGTGTCTGATACACCAGCCTGCCTGTTGCTCACAGTTTCCCTCTGTAGTACACCATCTGAGCAGTTTTATCAGCTGAAGCACATGCAAGTCTGTAAGAAAATCGCCTATTTAGGGAACATACCAGATGCAAGTTTCTAATTATTTTGATACGAAAGCTGTTAATAAAATGGCTTTGGGCAGCCATTGACTCACTGTTCTTTATTCCTTATCTGTCAACACCACTGCACACTAAATGTTGGGAAAGTGGTGAGACGGCTTTGCTGTGTTTCTATGCTACAGTGAAGCTGGATGATACAGTTGTCTGGCTCTAGCTGACCAGTCAAGGACAGACACTTTTGTATGTGTAGTAGACCATTACACTGTCTCAATGGCATACATTAATGCACTGAGATTGCCAAAGTGTTTTACTTTACTAAAATTTAAAATGTTCAAGATGGAGAGAACAAGACCCTTCACTAACGCGATTTTAGAGTTGTCTTGAACACATGAAAGCAAGCAGCTGATTTCTCCTGTATGAAATGACAGCTGGAGAAAACATAAATTTCACTGAAGTTTGAAGCTTAGCATCACTTTCTTTGTCATGTTCCCCCTGCCACTAAACATCCAGATCAGATGTTGGAACCCACCTGCAGAAGCCTACATTATAAACTCCAAACTACTTGGAGTGCGACCTCTCTGCTATCTCTATGATCTTGACCCCTAACAACTCAAGTTGAGAGGAGGGAAAAAACAGAAGTTGTAATGATGCAAAAAACATTAAAAGCACACTGAGTGACAAAATTCTTAACCACACTTTGAAAGAATATGGTAATAAAGGAATTAACACGTTACCTTGGAACCTTCAAGAATGTGGGAGTCCTTCTGTAACACATTCTGAACTTCTTCTGGAGTTGAGAATTTAATCCAGCAATAACGTCTGTGAAAGCCTGTATCTCTGTTCTAATTACCAGTTAGAAAAAAAAAACAAACAAAATGCAATTACTATAGGAAATATTCACATAGGCTGTTAAAAACTTTCTACAGATATTGAATTTAAAGATTCAGAAATTATCAGAGGAATTGGTGCACTTGATGTTTCAGGAGCCTTTTTCATATGAAGACATTTGGTGTCAGTGACAGTGTGAGTGGTCTAGCAAAGGCTGTTCTACATCCCTTTCAATCAGAATCTAGTAATAATAACAAAAAATCACAATCTTAAGAGATAGTTGAAGCCTGGAATAATGGATAGACAGTAGTTTCAAACTGCAGTATTTATCTACTAATAAGCCAGTCACAACAGAACTGACATTTGAATGGCCACAGTACTTGAACAACGTTCAGCAAGATAAAGCAGCTGCTTAAGGCACTAGGAAAGCAGAGTGCCATTTAGAATGACAAGCACTAACTGCACTGAAAAGAAAAACGTTATTTTTAGAAATAATTTGCCAGTCAGAAAAGACAGCTGTCAATAAACAGGTGATAATGAGGAAAAGCCAGGTATTCAAGTGCCTTCTGTCTCTATTTGATCCCACTCAGAGCTCACAACAGCTCAGCCACTCTCATCATCAGACATAACTGGCAACACTTCCAAACCACCTACAGGGTACTGCCCGGTTTCAGTAACACAGTGATGTCGAAATTAGGCTGTCCTACACTGATGATTTTTGTACCTCTGCGTTTTAAGCAGTAATGAAACTCCTCAAGCAATCACTGAATCTGAACGTACACAATGCATCACTTGAATCAGTGATGGAGGTGGGTTTGTGGTAAGCTACCAGACTTTGTAACAAAACAATGCAGTCTGACCTGGGCTTGAGGAAAAACGTGACAGGCAGGCACATACCTAAGCTTCAGGTGTTCAAAACAACCAGCCTGTTTCAAACTTTCTCCATTGCCAAACTAATCCTCAACAGAGAGTGAACCCATCAGCTCACTAACTAAAGTTTACTACACCCTGAGCTTAATTTAACAGGATTACTTCAAGTGGAGAAACAAGCAGACAGAACCTTTACACCTCAAGCAATGGCCTGCAATTTACCTGCAAAGGAATACTTATTTTTGACTGTTCATCTTTTTAAAAGTGCACTAGATACTACAATACCTGCGATCTATGCACTCAGAAGATAAACAGCCTAAATGACAGAGGCATTGGCAGCATCCTGCAGAAGTCACAGGTTTTGTGTTAGCCCGGCACTCTGGATAGGGTCTTAATCCGCAGCAAGAAAAGACCGTAGGTTCATACCCACATCTTTAGTTTTTGGCCAGTGCGACCAGGCACACAAAAACTTTATTCTCTGTCAGAAGAATGTCAACACAGTGATAGAGAAGCTCAAAGCACTTAGATTAATTATTTAGAAATAGCAGCATCAACGGGATGCTGAAGGATGTAGTTTGTAAAGCTGTTTGAAAGCCAACAGAAACCACTAAGCTTCAATAAGGCCTAGCGTTGTCAGATAAGTAGTGGCGCTCCTGGAAGAAGGAGCTATGGGTACAGAGCGCGGAAAACCTCACTAGAGTTCAAGATGAGGGGTGCAGACTGCAGCTCCAAGGAAGCGGGGAAGCTGCTTCGGGCAAGGCCCCAGTCGCAGGAGCAGCCGGCGGCTCTTCCCCGCTTCGCCGAGAAGACACGAAGTGCAGCCCGGAGGACGCGCGGGTACTCACGAAAGGCAGCTGGCACCTCTGCACCGACCCGAACTGGGAGAAGTACTCCTTCAGCTCCTCTGCGGGAAAACGCACCAGGTTACCCGCGCCCGGCGCCTCCGCGCAGCCGCGCCGCCCTGGCCCGACCCTGGCCTGTGCCGGCACACGCGGCGAGGCCGCCCAACCCCGCCAGCCCCAGCAGCGGCGAGGAATGGGAGGGGGAGCGCAGACTCACTGCTCGACACCGTCCAGGGAATCTCAGCCACGAAGATGTCGAAGAGTCGCCGGGAGCGACGCCCGGCCGCCCGTACCGCACTGGCCGCCGCCATGTCGGGACTGCGGTGAGAGGGAGGGGCGGAGAGAGGGAGGGGCGGCCCCGCCCCGGCCGGCCCGAAATGGCGGCGGCCCTGACCCGTGAGGGTGGGGAGGATGCGTTCCGCCGGCTCTTTCGCTTCTATCGGCAGCGCGACGCGTCCGACCTGCGGGGCGTGGTGGACTTCTCTGCGCCGGGGGGCCAGGTAATACTGGGCTGCTTCTGCCTGTGCCCCGCGGCGAGCGGCTCGGAGCGCGTTCCGCCCTCGGCGCGGTGTCTCAGTGCGGGGCTGTGGCGGTGTCACTGCAGCCTGCTCTTTCCACCTGCCGTTTCCTTTCGTGCCCGACGCCGAATCCCTAGTGCCGCCACGTTTCTGTCTAGAGGACGCTGCACTCGAGCGCCGAGCCTCTTACAGGTCCCTGTGCTGGTTTAAAAGTGAGAGCGTGACCCGAGCGGGACAGCTGGGAAGGGCCCGGGGCCCCTCCGCCCGCGGGCCCAAAGCCGGGTCCGCCCGGGCTGTCCCTGCGCCGTGGGACGCCGCTCGAGGGCACAGGGTGCCGGGCAGCCGCCCCTGGCCAGCGCCATGCCTAGTCACAGATTTACTACTTTTCCTTGTGTTTACTTTCATAATATTTCATTAGCTCCCTACACTGCAGTAGGGGATCCTCAAAGCCTCTAATAGAACCACGTGATACTTAAGCAGCAGAATGTATGGGCATAAAAAACGCCGAGTTTCACTCCAGGAACTGACACTGTTTCCTGGGCCTGCTAGCCCTTGTCGTGGTCCTGAAATACCTGGGTGAGCTGGAATCAGCTTCCACTTGCTGTACTGCCTTCCCCCCGGCTTCTCCTTTCTCGGGCCTGTATAATAAATGCTTGGCTTAGTCATCAGGATGAGTTAAGCTGTAAGAGTGGATTGGGGAATAGAGTCATCAGCACAGCTGAAAGTAGTAGCCATCCATCATAGTAGTTTACCCTGTCTTCAGTGGTGAAGAAATGATCCTTAAAACTTGTCTTCGGTTTTGTCACCTCACAAAAGAATGACACAAATCTGCTAAAGTGTTGTTATCCAGGGATTTCCTACTTATGAGCTTATGTCAAAAAAAGGAGTGAGGAATATAGTTAAACTGAAACTTTGCCTAATTTTTCATTGTTTCAATGCTTAGTCTTTTCTTTTTAGCATTCTATTAAGCTATTTATTTTTCTATCTTTTTGGACTATAATTTTGCTGTTGCTAATGAAACACAAAACCTGACTCATATGAAATTGTTAGAAGCAATAGAATTAACTAAGGAAGTTGTTAACATCTCAGCCTTTCTTGAGCTTGCAGGAATCCTGTATTTGGTAAAGGATTACAGCATTATGGCTCTTCTGGGAAATTCACAGTATTTGAGAACATCACAAGGATCTGTCTTCTTTCAATATGACTCTTTTTTGTGCCTGTTACCTTCTAACAGGTAGCAGCTTACTAGTGAAAACATCTTTTATTCCTCTTTCCACCAAGTTAAAAACATCTGGCGTTTCTCTTTAAGACCTACAGGCCAGGCAGATTGGCCTAGATAATATTGCTTCTTTTTTCTCAGAAAACTGCTTCATGCAGTTGAGCTCTTCAGTGAAGTGTGACATACCCCATCTGCCCTGTTACCAGGCTTATTTAACTGATTCAGCACATGTAATTCTTCAGCTCAGAAACACCTCCTGTTCTCCAGAAGCCCAGGCAGTAGCTGGTGTGGAAGCACTTTGAGCAGGCAGTGAGGTGGCAGAGTTTTGGTCAGAGGATGAGACTTCCTGGGGACGCTCAGTGGACAGGACTGTGAAGTAAGCTCAGGGCTGGTGTTCACAAAGCTGCTTTTGACAAAGAGCTGAAAAATTGGTAAAATTGACTATATTGCTAAAAGATGCTGTTCAGCAATAGTTCAGAATTTTTCAGAAATTCTATGTATGTAATTTAGTTCTGTTGCTCAGAAAATGTTAACCAGAGCTGTCAGCTGCAGAGAGACTGATTTATGCATGCACCACTATGGAGGCTGTGTGCAAAGGCCTTCATTTGATACACATTTTAAGTTGTCATAGACAAAGTCTTGCAGTCTCTGCCTATGTATTCCTTCTGTGCCTGGCCATCTCTCCTTGTATGAGCCTCTACTTTTCCACTGCTGCATGGAGAGCTGGACTGGGGAGTTAAGCCAGAACAACACCAACTTGCTTCTGCCTTGCCCTCCTCAAGACAGTTCCCAATCCTAATGGAAAAAGGGAGTGAGAACACAGTAGAATGAGTTTGGTGGGTTTTTTCCAGCAAATGTTAGCTTAAATACATGTGTTGTTGTAACATAAGGGAGTATGTCAAGTAAATACATCTTGCCAAGCCTTGAGCTGTTGATCCTGCTGTTTGGAACAGAATTGGCAGAGTGCCATTCAGAGTTGACAGAGTTTCTGTAGTCCTTCATATCCGACAGCTTTAGCTACTTCATTGCTGTTCTGCTTATCCTTCTGTAAATTAGAGATGAGAATAGTCATCTACCCTCTAGGATCATGGGCAACCTGGTTTTGGAATGTTCTTTGAAAGTATGAAGCGTTATGAGTATGTTGCTCTCTAATGGAGGTTGATAGTTACCAGAATGTTTTATAATTATGAGGCTGTACTGTGGAAATGGACAAATCATGATGAATTTTTTCTCATTGGTATATATTGTTTGGGTTTTTTTATGAGTGGGGGACATCTCATCCCTAGATAAAACCTGTACGTACCTTTTGATTCTTACGTTCAGTGTGTGCTGGCTCTGTTCACCCTGTCCTGGTCACAGCTGTTTAGACAGTAGTTTTGTGTACATTTGGCATTTTCAAGAGTTACCTTCAAACATGGTAGCACGCTTCCTTTTAGATGCTATTTTTGGATGAGTTTTGTGTTTCTCACTCTTTTTTCAACCAGATCTGTTTTATTTTTCCAGGTGTTCAGATCACAGCTCAGTATTTCTTCAGTCAGTGATCAAGATGCCTACAAAGCAGGATTACAGCCAGTTAGCCAGTGGAAAGCCTATGGCCTCAGTGGGTATCCAGGTAGGTCCTTCTGATTTCAAGAAAAATTAAGCAGAACCTCATTGCTTTGAATTCATGCAGTTTCAATCTTATTTTTCTTGCCCTGCCTGAGAAAGCTATTTTGGTTTGCCTAAGTGTAATTTAATGTTGTTGTAAGTGCAGGAGGACAAACAAATCAGCTGAAGGGTGGGATACAGCAATAATTATGAAGGTGAGAAGAGCCACTTGTTTCATAGTGAGATCAGCCAGACCGTAGCTCATGAGAATGGACTCCTGTTGTGTTTGGCAGAGACTGTATTTCTGTAGAATCTGTTTTTTCTCAATATATATCATGCTCATTGGGGTACATGGCTGAAATGCAGTAGTTTCACAGTGGAAGTGTGGCATCTACTTGTCAGTGTAGGACACAGTTCAGTAAGTGAATAAGAAACTTTTGGCCTATTCAATATGCAGAGTAATTTCATTAGGCAGGTTATTTCAGAAGTGGAAATGTGTGTTAGGTTTGCAGTTTACCTGGTATAATCACAGAGCGGTATTAGGTTGGAAGGCACCTCTGGAGGTCTAGGCCAACACCCTGCTTAAAACAGGATGAAGATGCAAGTTAGATCAGGATGCTGATAGCTTTGTATGGGTAAATTCTGGAAATTTAGAGAGATTACATGCCCTCTCTGGGCACCCGTATCAATGTTTGGCCGTGTTTTTTTTCCTGAACCTCATATCAGTTAAAAATTTGTCTTGCTATTGCTTGTGACCATTGTCTCTCACAACCTTGCTGTGCACATCTGAGAAGAATCAGGCTCCCCTCCTCTCTCACGCTTGTGGGTGGTGCTCACCAATACCAGGATGTCTCTAGCCCTCACAGTTTGTCCTCAAGGCAGCCTGGCCTTGGTTTGGAGCTGCTCTTGACCCTTGGGCCATACTGTTGCATGGTGTTGTTCTGCCCCAGATGCAGAATTACCACTGTTGAACTTCAGAGGGTCTCTTTAGCCCGTTCTTCGTTTGTCAAAGTCCTTTTCAGGGGCAGCACTGGCCTCCGGTAGATCCACTGCTGCCCCAATTTAGTGTAATCTGTAAGTGAAATGAGGATGAGCATCCCATCACCCACGTTGTTGATGTAATGTAATTATCTTTGCCCCAGGATCAAAGAATGCTGCTCATAACAGCTGCTGGTTAGACTTCAAATTGTCAAATCACTATTCTTTGAGCCTGGTGATCCATCCACCTTTTGCTTACTCTTTCAATTTGCCAAAAAAATTTATGGCTCCCAGTTTGGCTCCAATCCAGTGCTGTAAAAGACCGAATGAAAAACTTAAGCTAAGGTAAACATAATCCCCTGTTTTCCCCTTGTCTGAACATCTCACTCTAGCACACAGTAAGGCTGATTAGACAAAATCTGCTTTCCGTGCTCTGTGTCTAGACCACCACGTGTCTAGACCACCAACCACCACGTGTCTAGAAGTTGCTGCCGTGAAAGTTTGCTTCATAATTTTATCAGGGGTTTTGGTAAGGCTGATGAGTTTGTAGTTCCCTAGATCCTCCTTACTTCAGGAATTTCTGTTTGATTAATTATGTTTTTTTTCTCATGTTTCTTTCTATTCACTGGGACCTCAGTTTCTGTGTGAGTTGCTTTGAAGCCAGCCTACCATTTCTGAAACTGAGGCAGCCATGCTACCCATCTGGAATGTTTAATACACAGGGAATTTAATAACTTCAGGAGAAAGTTCTTGCCTCTGTAAATGTTTTGTTCCACTTATCTGTCATATTATAGTTGCCCTTGCTTGGTCTGCTTGTCATTTACTGTCTGTCTAAATGTCTTTCCTAGTAATTACATAGGGGGTGTGGGGAATCACAGGTGTTCCACTTAACTGCATTTCTCTTCTGCTTTGGCAGAGGAAGCCTTTTACTAAAATGAAATGCAAATACATTGACAAATTATCTGTCCTGTTTAGAATCAAGTCCTGTGTGCACTTGAGGAGAATAATACTTCATCATTTTTCAGCTACCTTTATCTGGGCATCCTAAGACAGTAGGAGATGTGTAACCAGCTGTCCTAATAGCCTTCTAAGGGAAGTTAGAATTTCTTTAGATTTTCTATGAGCAAATGGAAAGGAAGTACTTTGGTTTTGTCCCCACAGCAAGCAATGACATAGAAGACTAAGGAATCTGGGTGAATTTCTGTTGTGGTGTCCTGAGTTCTGTGAGAAGCATGTGATGCTGTCTTTAGGTCTTTGTAACTGACAGAGTTTTGGGGTTTTTTTGAGAGGTTTTTCTTGTTGTTAGACATCTGCATGTCTCATCCTTCCTTTGACTGAGGTTGGAGACCACTTTCATTAGGTGCAAATTAATTTGTAGTACATAGCAAGATAGTGCTGCAGTAAGAGAATTGCACCTGCTTCCTCAGGGCAATTTCCTTTGGTGTACAGATTCACAAAGAATAATTCTTTTTACCCTTTCCCCCCACATCTTTCAAGGGCAAGAGGTTCAATTATGTGGTCTTCAAAGTTTCTGTGGTGTTCTTCAGTCAGTTCAGAAATACTGCTACAGAAATATTTCTTATTTCTTACTCTTCTCCCTCCTATATGTGTGCAAGTCACTAGCACTATTAGTCTTTGTTCTGTATTTGCGCAGAATTTTATAGTAAAACTCTGTATCTGTTAGAAATTCAATTTCTGCCTTTCTTGACACAACAAGCATAGTAGTAATCCACTTTTTAGTTGTTACTGCTTTTGTAAATCTAGACCAATCAGGTTTCTAAAGAGAAACCTAGGTCAAGGAAAGGTTTGGAGAGAGATGAGCATGTTCTAAGTTTGTGAGATAAAAGCCATAAAATCTGGATTCTTGTTCTCATCTCTGCTTATAACTAACTCTCCAGGCTTCAATGCCTTCATTAATACCTGGGGATAATACATACATAGTAGAGTGTAATTTCGTGATTGTAGTAAGGTGCTTCAAGAACCCCACATCAAAAGCTGTAGACAGGAAGGGCAGTATTATTATTCTGTTCTATGCAGATGCCAACAGAAAGTAAATATAATGCTTCTGGCAAAGAAACTTGTTGTAACCAAACCTGTCAGAAGGCTGCCATAGTCTGAAAGTGCAGGGAACCGAGTGAAGTGAATGACCATATGTTATTAATACACTGAAGGCTTTTTTTCTAACCAGTTACTTTAATCTTGAGTCTGTGAGGTATGCTGGTAGCTCTTTTCATGTTTTTATTACCACTTTCATAAGGCCACAAAGCAAGTTTGTATCCTACTGAGACTCCTAGCTTTGCTGCTTCTTTTTTCACCTATTTTTGTTTCTTTTAACTTGATATGACTGAGAAGTTCAAAAAGACACAGCAGGCCAAAACCTTACAAACCCCTTTTTTCTTTGTTCCTCTTATACCCTTATCTCTCTTTACATGTATATTTTGTGTTGGTGAGTCTTATTGAATTGACAGTCTTTGAGAGAATGCCTTGATTCTCAAAGTAGGTACAGTACAGATAAATAGCATCTCTCATATGGGCTGCTGCTTGAACCCTGCCTGAGGTGCCTGGCTGAATGAATGTGCAGAATAGCTGCATGTTTATTTTGTTTTGTTAAATAACAATATCTGCAAAGAATTCACAGTCATTAACAACTGGTTTGGGATGCCATTTGACTTTCATGCCCATTTATGAGTGTTACCATATCAAAATGCAAATATGGATACAACCAGACTTAACCTGGAAATAAGCATGAAAAAAAAGAGGAGGACACTTTACATTACTAGACACTTGCTCAGCCCAGGGACTTCTTTCTGAAGTAGCAATAGGAAGACAGTATGAGTTCAGAGCCAGGGATAAAGTTAGTGTGAAGTATAGAAAAACTTGGCCAGAATTGCTTGAACTTTGCTGGACTTAAGAGAAAAGTCATGCTGAATAATTTAAAAATAAAATTTACTCCAAAACAATTGGATTTCCATGTTCTTACTGCTTTATCTTCTGTAATCAATATGCCTTACATAGATATGTCCTTTATTGTATTTTTGTTTGGACTAGTGTTTTGGCTGCCCTCTGCCTTCTACTTTGTGCCGCCATTTGTTTTTTTCTGAAAAAAACTCAATAAGTTTTAACTGGAATAGATTTCATCAGCTTATATGCACAGTAAATGGTTGTATGTCTAAGGGTTTTTTTCACTACCTCTGGCTCCTATCCTTTGCTTTAGATTCAGAAGAAAAACCAGGGAAACATCTAATCCTACTTTGTCTCCATCTTCTCCTTTTTCCATTGTGGTCAGGGTTTATTTTCATACCAAACCCTTTCCTTCCTGGCTGCCAGCGTCACTGGGTGAAGCAGTGTCTCAAGCTATACCCTGAGAAACCCAATGTCTGCAACCTGGACCTGCACATGGCTCCTGAGAAGACCACTGACCTGTGGGGACAGAGCAAGGAGCAGCTGAGGTGAGTCCACTGTCACCTCTCGTGGTCAAAACTGATGAAGCCAGATCTCACCTTTGAGAAGGTTAAGAAAATTGAGCAGGGAAGGGAAGATGGATAAGATTGTGTGCATGCTGGCAGAATACAGATGGTGTCAGACATGCCAAGTTAAAGATGGATATTTCATGGCTTCATGTGCATCCTTGTTAATTCTCTGCTTTCATTCTCAATGGGATTTTCTAGTAGCCTAGAAAATCCCATTGAGAATGGGATTCTAAAGCCATTGTGAACTGTTACATAGTGGCCCTGGCTGGTGTGGTGCTTGAAGCTTGCTAAGCTCAGCTGTGAGTGGAACCGTGAAGTCCCTCTAGGCCTCAGTTTTCCTGAGGCAAAACAGATCCTTTCCAAAACTCCCCACTAATGGTAGCACTTCTTCCCAGTCAGCTGTTAGACCCAGTACACTGTAATTGAAATGCTATTAGCTGTACTTTCTTGAACTTCTCAAATCTAGCAGTTTGTGTTATTTTCTAAAGTATTTATTTTGGTTTGGTTTTGTTTGTGGTTCATAATTCAGCATGACATTGAATTAAATGTATTAAATGTACCATTTTAATGGCAATCATGTTTAATCTGAAATATTCCATCGGATTCAGAATTCTGTGGCTGATGTAGCTGCCTTTCCTCTACCTGGTCTGGGATTTAATGGAGAATTTGTCCCAGTTTTGAAGTCAAGTAGAAAGTTTAAAAAAAGGAACAGTCTTTTAAAGCTTGAACTTTATTCAAGTCACCTGTAGAAGTACATGTAAGACAGACTGTTTACAATCTCTTAGCTATTTGAATATTTATCATTACCTTATTGATTTCACTGCTCATTTTTCATAATGGTTGTTTTGTGTGATGGTGCAACCAGAGTTATCTACAATGCTCATCTTCCACCTCATTCTCTTAGGTTGACATGCTGAGCTTTTTCTGAAAAAAAAAAAGACTCTTGACATCTACAAGATGTAGAATGGCAAAAGCAAGATTGGGACTTCTAACTGTTTGCATCTAGGAGAGAAGTTATACTCTCGCCTCTGTTTTCCAGGCTCAGTCAGAATTAGTTACAGAAATGTAGACACTGTTTTTGTGTTCCATCAAGAATGAAAAATTGTTCTGTGAAAGCATTGTGCATTGTGCCCAATGGCTGAAAAAGTGGGGTACTGTTCCAGTTTGACAGGCCTCTCCCAGTAGGACCTCCTGTGTACAGAGAATGATCAGAGCAGAGGTTAATTTGCAGCTGAATCTAGTTCAGTTGAAAACAGTGTTTAGAAAAGTGATGGCTGGCAGCAACCCTGGCAATTTTTGGAAGTACTTACCTGAGTCTTCAAGTGAGCAAACTGCTGTATTTGTGCTTATACCTGGGGGCAGCAGATGGAACTAGCCAGCCTCTCTAGTATCTGGAGTGAAAGCGTTTCTGAGAGGCAAGAAACAGTGCTTAACTGAAAAGAGGTCTACTTCCAAGATGGGTCACACCTTCAATGCTTTTAAAGCAATTAGGATAATGCATGCACGTGCTTGGGTCATGGCTTATCTGCTCTTTTCAGGATGCAGGAATCACAAGGTAGGGTGAATCTGTACAATTCCAAGACATATATGCTATGCTTTCTTCACAAAGTGGAGCCTGAGTATTTTCTCTGGTACTTGTGACAATTAAAAGCATAAAAGGGAATAGAGCATTACCACAAGGGAGATACCTGTATATCTGTATCTCCATCCTTGTGTATAAGGACAAGGCTGGAGGGGTTTTACAGATGCAATCATTACCAGTAAATAAACAAGGGATCTTCAGACCAAAGCTCCCATGCTGTTCAGTCTTTTTCTAACATAGTAATACCAGACCTTTTCTGTGCTTTCTTGTGGGACCTCATTGTTTCCAGATACGTATCACTCATACTTTCCCCTTCTTAGCAATCACATATGAAATCACATGTAAAATACCAAGTTCTGGGAATAAGGACTTCCTACACACATTTGGGCTCTTGCTGTTGTGCAATCACTCTAGCACTGTAGCAAAAAAAGGGCACTTTTGCAAGGCACGTGCTAAAGTTGTTTCATCATGAACATTGTTTGTCAGTTGAAAGATGTACAAGAACAAACTGTGGGCTGTCCCTTTTATAAATGCTGTGTTGCCTGCTTGTGAGCTACACAAATTGTTCCAAGCCGCATGTATTTGACAGTTACTGTGTTGGTGTTTATGGTAATTGCAGTTGCTGTTACCCTATGACAGATGGAAATTGGAAAGACTATTTTCAGTAATCAGTGAACTAAGAAAAATTACTAAAGGTAAAGAAACTTGTCTTTTACTCCTGTTCCCGGTTTATCTTATGAGCTATGAGGACGGCATAGTTGAAGGGCAAGAACAAGATGTGTATCCAGGTAGAAATGCACATTAAATGCAGATGTTTGGCTGAGACTTGACCATTACAGCACAAATATAAATCTTTTTTTGTAAAAGAGAGCATATGATGCTGAACTAATGAGGCTATAAATGAGAGCCAGCCGTCTGGTACTGCTGTTTGTCTTCTTAGTATATTTCCCTGTTCTATATTTTTCTTTTTTTACCATAACACGTGACTTGGCTTGAGAAAAGTATGCTGAAATTGCTGGAATGAGTAGACTAGAAGATAGATGTGTACCTTCATTTTTGTATTTGTCATTAACATATTTCTATGTGATTTAGTTATTTGTACTCTGTAACTTTTCAAAGGCTTTTCCATAGTCTGTCCTAGAAGCCTCTTCTTGCTTTCATTGCCTGCAAGTAAGAATGGTAAATTGGTGTGTGGCTTCAGACCACTCAGTCTTCAGGGTTGTCACATGAGAAGAACAGTTCTTTGTCCTGCATAGGATCAGGGGACGCCTGCAGTCTAAATTTCTTGACACTGTGGTCATAGCTAGAGAAGTCTTGCTTCTTACTGCAAGTCAGCCCATCCTAAGGACATTTTATCAAAGTACCAAGTAGTAGAACTAACCATCCTTTGCAAATTAGGCAGCATGCTATGCTTCACTGTCAGGCTACTCATTTTCCTTTCGTGTAATTTTCCATTAAGTGCCTAGAATATTTTTTCCTTGAATTTGCAACTTTCAGATCTTGAGATTCTGGTCTTTCATTTTTGGGTGCTCAAATAGGACATGTTTAATTCTGATTTCTTAATCCGTGCTACTCATTGTGTTTCCATCCGATAATCTCTTAGGTACCATGTGGAAAATACAAGCTTTCAAACTGACAACAGTTGGCAGTAGGCCACACAGCTTCCACACATTCCATGAACAAAATTTTCAAGGTCTTTGGAGGAAGAGAGCATTGGCACTGAAAATAAAAGTTTAGCATTGATCAGTTTTAATAGGCTGTGAAATGGATGAGTGAGACTCATTACTGTATGCTGCACTACCAGAAGACCCCTCAGAAATTAACACATATCCTATTTCTTTATATTTTGTCTTTGTAGAAGGAAGGGTTCCAGTAAATGGGAGCCCAGGAGCCTATTGGAGAAGCTGCGCTGGGTGACCCTTGGTTACCATTATAACTGGGATACTAAGGTATTGAGGTTAAATTCTTCTCCATTTTTCTTAGCAATAAACACTCAGAATGGCACACAGAGAAGGATATAATGGAATAAAATGTTTATGATCCTACAAGACAGTCTTGAGGAAAGGCACTAACAAACTGCTTTCGAGAACATTTTCATTTGTATTGGTTTACTGTGAAGGGTTTAACAGCAAAAGTCCATTGCTGCATTCTTTTCCTTTGAAAGTTAACATGATAGTATACACTCAGCTCTAAACCTGCAACTATTTCAGGGCAGGTGGCATTTTTACCTACCAAAAAGGATGATTACAAAAGCATTGCTAACTACTTAAGCTGAGTGGGACTTCTGGGAAACTGCTCTTTGGTGGGGTGAGCTGGAACAAGAAGAAGCTTCTGCTTGTGTGATTTTGAACTTTAATGAGTCTGAACCACTACAGTGCATTCTTACCAACTGACAGCTGTTTTGAGGATCCTGATCAACATAAACTTTTTTTCGTGAGACTGAGATAGATGGAGGCTGATAAACACTGGCAGAGTGAATATGCATCTTATCTATACGTTGCAGATAACCAAATCTGCTCACAGCCTTTTATTTACCAGATCAACCTGTTATTGGATGGCCTTAATAAAAGTTTGGTTATTATCTTCCAGTCCTCTCAGAATGACTTTTGGGAAAGAGAAAAAGTAGGTTTGCAATTGATTTCTGCTTGTTATTAATGAAGGAATAAAGATGCATGTTTTGGAGCTCTGTTGATGAGCTGCAGAACTGTCTTCCCATTGGCAGCTTCAGGTTGTGACTGAGAAGATCCTCAGGGTGTTGGTACTAATCTTACTGATTTCAAGTTTAGCATCTAGATATAATGATTAACTCCATAATTAATTGAATCTCTGGCAGTCTCAGCCTAGACCATGAATGTAATGGTAGGAGGTAAATTTGCTGTGATTCTGCCTGTGTTGTAGTCATTTTCTAGGTAAATGTGATGTCCTTTTCCATGACTACCAGCCAGGATTTTGAGTTCTTTTTCAATGTTTGTTTCCAAGTCTATTTGCTGCTCTGATGTGTTGGGTGTGCCTTTTTTTTTCCTCCTCCCCCACCCCTCCTTACAGAAGTACTCAGCAAATCACCACACTCCTTTCCCCTCAGACCTTGCATTCCTATCAGAACAAGTGGCTGCAGCCTGTGGGTTTCGGGGTTTCCAAGCCCAAGCAGGGATCTTGAACTACTATCATTTTGACTCTTCACTGGGAATTCATGTGGATGAGTCTGAACTAGACCATTCTCGGCCCCTGTTGTCATTCAGGTGAGTCAAGGAAAGCACATTTGAGTGTTATGGAAAGATCAGTGGCTTTTTTCTAGGATTGCTTATGGTTATATGAAGGCAGTATGATGTAGTTTGCTAATTGGGTATATAATCTTCACTCTCAGAAGATTTGAATAGCAGAAGGCTGTAGGTCGGGGGCATAGGTTTTCTTTAAGGACTGCTTAAATAGCTAGTGCCTGGAGTGAAGAGCTCTTTTGCAGAGAGCACAGTTCTGTTCCAAAGCAGCAGAGTGGCAATTGGGTACTAAAGAAGTATCTCAGCAGAGCTTCAGACCTGGCAGGGCAATTGCTTGCACTGTGCCTATCTTGAACCAGATCTCTTGGTCTGTTTGCCATGTTCCCACCTAAAACTTGTTCTTAGGAGTCTCTGTTTTTGTGATTGCTTGGGTTGTTTTTTATGAAGGAATTTAACTACTGGTATTTTCTTACTGTAGAGAAAATTGTTCTGTACCTGAATTTGTTTTCTCTCTCCATCTTTATACCATGTGTAGTTTTGGGCAATCCTCGATATTTTTGCTTGGGGGCCTGAAGCGGGAGGAGGCGCCGACAGCGATGTTCATGCACAGCGGCGATATCATGGTGATGTCTGGCTTCAGCCGCCTGCTGTACCACGCTGTCCCCAGGGTCCTCCCCAACCCTGAGGGGACAGCTCTGCCTTCCTGCCTCGACCAAGCTCTTTCTTCAGACCTTCCTGTTGGCTCGGTCATTGAGCACAGCTCTGATGAAGACTGGCAGGTGTGTGCCAAGTACCTGCAGTCCTCCCGCATCAACATGACTGTTCGGCAGGTGTTGGCTGAGGGTCAGAAATTTCCAGAGGAATCTGGGACAAATGGAAAGGGCCAAGCACCCTCTGAAGACAGTTATCATGAGAACAGCAAAGCCAAAAGACATAAACCAAACAGAGTCAGCTGAGACCAGGCCATCATACTGACATGGACCAGACAGGCAATCTCCGTATGGAATTAGGGACTGGTGTAATACTGGAAGTCACTTGTCTGTATTGCAGTTAATAAACTTGTGCAGAATAAATGTAGTCCTACTTGCTGTAATAAATACGTAGAAGGAGAAAAAGAATTTAAAAGGAAAAGAAGGATAAGTTCAGGACTGGGACTCAGGAGATTAACTCTGTTGGCATTTTGTTGCAAATGTTTACTGTACTCTGTTTCCTTTAAAATACCTGTATGTCAGAGAACTTTAAGCTTGGTTAAGCTTAAATGGTTTAAGCTTTTGGTGAAGCTTGGTTTAAGCTTTAGGAGTGATGCTTATAAAGTATTTTGAAATCATTGGGCAGAGAGTGTTAGCAGAAGATACATAATTGCTATGTGATAGAGATCCTGTTGGGCTTGTAAAGCTCAGCTGAAGCAAAGTAACAAGTTTGTATGAGAATAGGCTGCTATGGGTGAAAGACGTACCTGCAGCGTTTATAAGATAATTACATCTACAGCACAAATGGGTTCAGTGGTCAGAAACTGGCAGCTCCCTCAAGCAACACCTGCTGTAAGCTTTCTGTAGTCCTGTGCTCTCCTTTTGCCTGTTTGCATCCCCTCAGCTGCAGCAGAATCTGCTTTTATGAATTGTACTGAACATCTTACCTCAGATTTTAGAGAGAAACGGTTGGGAGCCATATCTACTTAGAATATCTAGTAGCTCCCAACTGGGTCTCCTCCCAGCAGTAAGTATGTGACTAAGCCCAACATTGCCATTCTTTCAAAACTGCCCTCTCCTAAGTGCCTGTGTGTTACAGTTCTCCAGTCCCAAGCTAACATCTGTAAGGAACAGGATGACTTGCAAATAAAAGCAATGAAGCTGTAAATTAAGTACCTAAAAAATTAATCAGTGACTATCTCTGTCACCCAAAGATAAATATATTGAAACAAAGAAAAGCACTAGCTTTTGTGCTAGTTCTTTTTAAGATTCAGATCATCCTATCTACTTTTTAATGCAATTTTAATTGTTGGAGTGGAATGCACTATCCCTGGGGTATATTGTTGCACTTTCACAATGAATAAACTTACTTGGTTTTAAATTAAAGATCTCTATCGGTTTTGGGCTGGCTATTTTCTTCTTTTCTTTTTCTCCCTGTTAGTTGTTTCAGTGTATTGTTAATGCTGCTGTATCTCTTGTGCAGTTCCCTCCAGGCTTCTTTTGCATCTACTCCCTCTGCAGTCTGCCAGCTGCTGTGGAGGAGCCCTGCATATGCCTGCAGGGCTGCTTTGCTTATGGGCAGTTCAGGGTTTGTTGGGCAGTTGCAGAGGGGTGTTGCCTGCAGTATCAAAATCCAATTTAATACATATGTGGCAGCTTTTCCTCATGGGTAAAGTGTCTGGTCTGCATATTTCGTAGGAGGTGGGTGTGTATTTGCATGCAATTAATTCATTATACAATACTGCAAGGAGTTCCAGTAACTTAAGGTCTAAAATAATCAGATAAGAGTTTTAGTATCTTGTTCTATGTTAGGTGTGTGTCCTTTCTGTAGTCTGGACCTGGTATATTTACAGCTGAGCCCTAGAAGACTGAATATATTATGCAGAGAGGTTACAACATGACCAGAAAAGAAAGTTGACTGAGTCAAGCTTAGAAAACAGTCCTTAGTGGCACCTGAAGATGGAGAAGGATGGAGAGGAATATCTGTTTTCTTAACTGAGAAGGCTGACTGTTCTCCACTCTGGAGAAGGAAGCAAAGACTGTCCAACTCACCCATCTCATCTCTGATGATGAGACAAGACAGTCATGAAACTAAGAAGGTGGTGAACAGGAGCTAATTTCTTCATGTCACAGGCTGAATTGTAAGTCCATGGTTTTCGTGTCTTTTGTTCCCTATAAATATATAATATATGCCAGGCAATAATTTATTCCAGAATTCATTTGTTCCTGTGATTCAAGGAGAAGAAAGCGTACTGTTTACCCTCTGCAGATCAAAATTGTAGTAAATGCTGCAAACTACTGATAGCAATTGGCCATGAGAAGTATCCAGTCCACTGAAGCCTTATGTTTAGATGTGACTGAGTTGAGAATTTGCTGAGTTACTTGCAGTCAAGCTTTTTACTGAATGCCATTGTAAGACATAATTCTGTATCAGATACCTAGAAATGAACATATGGGAAATTACCCAGAAAAAACATGAGAAACAATAAGAAGACAGAAATTTCTGAACTGCTAGCCTAGCAGGATCATGATCATTGGTCCTGTGACCAGAGCAGAGGGGAGTACAAGTGAGCAAACCACGGGACTTCTGCAGGCTCTGCAAACTGCGATAAATTATACCCAGGATATAATTTCAGAGTCAGGAAGTCCTGGGAAGAAGGCAGGGAGTAGAGCTGCATCCAGTAATATACTCAGGCACCATTGACCTATTGCACACAGCTTTCAGAGTCTGACATTGGCACCGCATTTGCTTGGATTTGTGATGACATAAAAGGATTTTTCCGTAGCACTGATCAAATTTTTGTATCTATAGGTACCACAAATAATTGCTTGTGTTCATATAGGTGTGTTCTGAGATAATCTCTGTAGTTTGTAATTCCTCTGAGGGAGAGGAGGGAAAGAACAGGACATCTGGACCAATTCTGCAAGAAAATTTATGTAATGAGTTGATTACAGGAAGATAAGCATGTGTTTCTTCCAAAGCCACCTGGAAATGAAGCACATCGTTTACCACATGTACACTGTTCATTATGTGATCTATAGATAAAGCTAGCTGTCCAACAATTGCTGTTTTTTTTTAATCAAGAATAAAGGGAAAATAAATCTCCAGTTAAATTCGAAAGTGCAATGGGATGAATACTGGAAGCAGAAGAGGAAGCTGCCTGCACAAACTAAAAATGTTCAGTTCTCTTGAGAGAACTGTGCTAGAACAGTTCAGTGTTACAACTGGACTGCTGGCTAGTGCCCAAGACAGATTTACTGCATGCTCTGTGCTGCCAGGCAGTAACTTATGGACAAGGTAGTCCCTAAAGCTGTCCCTGCTGCTGGAATGATTCTGATCTCTCAGGTATTTTTCCTTTCTTTGAGAGCTTGTTGACTTTTTTTTTTTACTGTTTCACAGCAGATATTTCTACAGATTGTAGTAAGGTGCATCTAAGCTCCTCTATTGTGCTGTGTGCTCTGCTGAGCTAGTAGGTAGAGACAAGCAAGTGGCTGGGGAAGGAAGCTGGGTAGGGAGTGCCAAGACAGCAGCAACATCACACTGCCACGGCTGGGGTGAAGCTGCCCAGAATCTTATGTTGTGCAGACAGCAGCTCAGATCTGTCTGGTTCTATTCATATAAGTTATTCTCTGCATCACACCTGAAACAGGATAGATTTAGCACAGAAAAGAGACTTGTCAGGGATAAGATTGTCTTCCACTTAATTAGGGTGCAAAATTAATTGAGCAATAATTCAGTGTGCTCTAAGCATACTTTAATTCTGATTAAATTGTAAAACTTGCCTAAGTCTGAACACGTTACCTCAAAAAGTTAACAGAAGTACATGGCCTGCAGACATTAATGATCCAGAAAAATAAGTTGATAGAGGCCTCAAAAGACCTATATATAAAGCCCCTTTTTTTTTTTTTTAATTAATAATCTTTATGCAAGAAGAGACTTAGAGAAAACCAGTGACAGTCATCCACTGTCTGCTGATGCCTCCATAAATCCTAACGACCAAAGCTGGTTGGAAACAGTCTATAGCATAATGCTATAGATATGGTACAAGGAGGCACAAGATCTGTCTGACACAAGTTTAGCACAGTACAAAATAATTTTAATTATTTATACTCAGCAAATAATAATCACAAATACCTTAATAAACCATTTTTCTATACAAGGAATTGAACAATGACTAAGAATATGTTCATATGTCTTCTGGTAAAGTTGAGGTGAGATAAAAGTTGCCACTCTAAGTAACAGCTTTGCTCATACAAGCTGTTTGCTTGTATTCTCATCTGGACAGAAGGTAAAGGACCACAGAAATGGTGCTTGAAGAGATCTCTGGAGATGTCTAATCCAACCTCCCGCTAGGAATTAGTGCTGTTTTCTACATGACACTTAGAAACTTTCTGTGATGAAGACTCTACCATTTCTTTCAGTAACTTGTGCCCAGTGCTGTCATACTCACCTTTTGAAGAAATTTCAACCTTTATCCATTCTCTCTGCCTTCTTCTTACCATCTGTTACTACCAGGAGTTTGCTTCCACTCTCTTTGAAGCTCTCCTACAAATAATTGAAGTCTACACTAGACCAACTCCCCTGAGTCTAGTCTGAGCCACATGGAAGGACCCCAGGAACCACAACCACATATCCCCATAGATATGTGCCTCAAGTCTAGTCTGAGCCACATGGAAGGACCCCAGGAACCACAACATTTCCCCATAGATATGTGCCTCGGACCCCCACCATTATTCACTTTAGCCCTGTTCAGAATTGTCTGATTTCAGATGCTGCACCACTCTCTCTGCTAGGGCTGGTTTCTGTTACAGTCAGGAAGCCAACAACAAATTGACTCCTGAATCCTAGTTCCTAAATCTGCTAGATGCACTAGATACACTTTTTTACAGCGTTTCCTAAATTAAAATTTTTTTCCTCCCATCTACATCATAACAAAATAAAAGTAGTAGTTTTGTGCGGTGCAGAATGAATGAATCATAATCCCCTATGGATTTTTGTTCCTGAAAATTTGAGTTCTCAATGAAACTTTTCAACCAGATGAGTACTTATATTTGATATTTTCCTATGTGATGCCCCCAGAGTTTAATACATGCACAGTGCACCATTTTCCTGAATCAGGACATTTATAGGGTCCCTCTCCTCTAACTGGCTGCCTGTACTTGCAGGAACTTTGTTTGCTGTGAAATTTATCAAATCTAATTAAAATAGATCAACAGTTTCAAAGTTACTGGAAAGGAATGTGAGGACACACAAAGTTTAACACATTCACAACCCATAAGAACATATGTTTTCTTCCTTTCGGAAACCAGTCTCAAGGATACTTTCATTCTCTTAAGGCAAGCTGCTCTGGACTTCTGTAGCAGGTCCTGCTCTGAAGGATTCTGCTCTTGATGTCCCAGAGAGGAGAGAAATAATCTGGAATATCAGAGTAATTTTAGTCCAGCAAGCACAATCCCCATCTGGTTTCTACAATCAAATCATCCCCTGGCCCCCTTAGAAGAAGCTGACAATGCACAGAAACTGAAGTTAATCAGCTGCTTATCTCTCCAAGGTGGTAAATAAGTCTTTGGAGTACAGCAGGGAGTCAGACCTGATTTTTATCTGAAGCTAGGGCTTGTATTCAGATAGGCATCCTGCAAAGTACCACTTCCACTGGATCAGGGGTGAAGGAGAGAGGGGATAAAGCCCAGAAAAGCCTGTAGCAGCTTTCCCTCTTTTCAGAATACAGGTGTTTATTCCTCTGGACGAGGAAGTGAAAGCTTCAACCTTGTGGAGACACTTCCCATCTTGTTTTATTATCAAGTCAGTAGAGATTATTCAGTCTCTGACCTTTTCCTGTGGCACTGTTGAATGTCCTTTTCCACAAAATCCCCATGTGTAGTGGACTCTCCCGAGTTTCTCTGTGAAGCCTGACCCTTTTTGGCCATGTAATCATGCATCTCAGCACTGGGGTTGTGCCCCCCTTCACCATCACTCAGTGCTTATTTCCTTCATTCAAGAGCTCAGTGCTGCTGCCGCTTGCCCACAATACAGCTTCTCTCATCTACTCCATGATCTCAAAGCTCTTCCAAAGCATAGGTCAGGACCATTAGACCCTGGAAGTTCAGAAGCAAGGCCAATTTATTACAAAATGTGGGGAAACTGAAATAGAGGTAACGTGAGGTGGCATTCACACTTATGTGTAGAAATGGTGCTTAGGGACATGGTTTAGTGGTGGACTTAGCTGTCCACTACAGCCAAGGTTTAGGTGTTAGGTTTATGCTTGGACTTGATGATCTTAGAGGTATTTTCCAACCTAAATGATTTTATGAACCTATGAGGCACAAAGAAACACTCTCCAAATATACTTGTTGAACTATGTATAGAGAATAAAAAGTGAGTCAGCCTAGAAGACATACAG